AGGATTGACATTATCTGATTTAAACACATATTACAAAGCTACAGTTATCAAGACAGTGTAGTACTGACGTCAGTATAGATAGACAGATGGAACCAAATAGAGTCCAGAAATAGACCCATAAACATATGGTTAATTGATTTTCAAAATGGGTAAAAAGGCAATTCAGTGGAGAAACGATGGAAAAAATGTGGTGCAAGAACAACTGAATATTCATATGCCAAAAAGAAATTCCATCTATAGCTCCCAAAATTAACAAAACGATTCTAGACCTAATTGTAAAACTTTTAGAAGAAAATTTAGGAGAAAATATTTTTCAGATACAATATCAAAAGCACAGTCCATAAAAGAAAAAATTGATAAACAACTTCATCAGAATTAAGATCTGCACTTTAAAAGGCACAGCTAAGAGAATGCAAAGACAAGGTACAAATTGGGAGAGAATATTCGCAAATCACATATCTGATAAAGGGGCTTGTGTGTAGAATACATACATATATGTAAGAAAACAACTCGCTTTTTAAAAATGGGGAAGAATATGAACACTTTACCAAAAAAATGTAGATGCCAAAAAAGCACATGAAAAATATTCAACATCATTAGTCATTAAGAAAAGCAAATCAAAACCTAAATAAGATACTATTACACATCTGTTACAACATAGAAATCAAAAGACTCACCATACCAAGCACTGGTGAGAATGTGAAACAACTGGAACTTTTGTGCACTACTGATGGGAACGTATAAGAGTACAACCACTTTGGAAAACAGTTGGGTAGTTTTGCAAAAAGTTAAATATACACCTACGATATAACCTAGCTATTCCACTCCCAGGTAGTTACCCAAGAGAAAGTAAAACATATCCCCACACAAACACTTGCACATAAATATTCCTAGTAGCTTTAGCTGTAACAGCCAAAATCTGGAAACAACCCAGTATCTATTAACAGGTGAATGGATAAACAAACTATGATACATCTATGCAATGGAATACTACTCAGCAATTAAAAGAAACCAACTACTGACACATGTTACAACACAGATAAACATAAAAGCATTATGCCAAGTGAAAGAAACCAGACATAAAAGACCACATAGTACATGATTCCACTTATATGAAAAGTTCAGAAAAGGCAAACTTACAGAAACAGCACATCAATGGATGCCTAGGACAGGGGTGGGAATAGAGATTGTACACAGGAACTTTTGGGTAAATAGGGACCAGGAAAGTTTTGGGGGTGATAGAAATGTCATCAAACTGAAGTGTAATGATGATGTACAACTCTACACATTTATTAAAATCATTGAATTGTATGCTTAAAAGGAGTGAGTTCTCGGCCGGGCGCGGTGGCTCACGCCTGTAATCCTAGCTCTCTGGGAGGCCGAGGCGGGCGGATCGTTCTGAGCTCAGGAGTTCGAAACCAGCCTGAGCAAGAGCAAGACCCCGTCTCTAGTAAAATTAGAAAGAAATTAATTGGACAACTAAAAATATATAGGGCATGGTGGCGCATGCCTGTAGTCCCAGCTACTCGGGAGGCTGAGGCAGGAGGATTGCTTGAGCCCAGGAGTTTGAGGTTGCTGTGAGCTAGGCTGATGCCATGGCACTCACTCTAGCCCGGGCAACATAGTGAGACTCTGTCTCAAAAAAAAAAAAAAAAAAAAAGGAGTGAGTTCTACGGTATATAAATTATATCTCAATAAAGCTGTTAAAAAGAAATGTATATATAATGTATGATTCTATTTATTTAAAAATTCTAGAAAATCTATAGTGACTAAAAGCAGAGGGGGTAAGAGGGACAGATTATAAAGGGGCAGGAGGAAATTTTAGAGTTGACGGATATGCATTACCTTTTCTATGGTGATGGCTTTATGGAAATATATGCGTCAAAACTAACCAAATTGTATACTTAACACATGTACAGTTTATGATATGACAATTATACTTCAAAAAAGCTGTTTTTACAAAGTATGGTGTCCACTGAAGAGCAAGCTTTCAGTGTGGCCGGTGTGAAAAGCAGAAGGGAGTAACACGAGAACCATTCACGCACCCAAAAATGTCTTTATCATAGCTGCACGATGTCCATTTCCCCTGATCAGACAGACTGCTTCCATTTTTTTTTGTTAAACAAACAGTGTCTCACCATTGTGTGCAAAGCTCTTTATTTAGAAAGTATTGCTTTAGAATAGATTACCAGAAGTAGAAGAAGAGTATGAATTTTTAATATTAGGAAAACAGATTTTTATTTTTAAAGAAAAAACTTGCTTATCTTTCTTTTTTTTAACTTATGTGCTGTATTTACTTTTAAGGAAACAGGAAAAGGAAACATGGAATAAATTATTTTACTTTAGAAACTATGAAGTAGGCCAGGCACAGTAGCTCATGCCTGTAATTGCAGAGCTTTGGGAGGCTGAGGCAGGCGTGCTTGAGGCCAGAAGTTTGAGACCAGCCTGGGCAACATAACAAGACCCTGTCTCTACAAAAAATTTAAAAAAACAAAAAATTAGGTGGGTGTGGTGGTGTGTACCAGTAGTCCTTGCTACTCAGGAGGCTGAGGCAGGAAGATCACTTAAGCCCAGGAGTTCAAGGCTGCAGTGAGCTATGATCATGCCACTGCGCTCTAGCCTGGGTGATAGAGCAAGACCCTGTCTCTAAAAAATAAAAAAAAAGAAAGAAAGAAAGAAAGAAAGAAAAAAGAAACTATGAAGTAATATTAAAACTTTTAGGGGATGATATAGGGTTGAGTGGAATTTCCTTGGGCAATTTTTTCTGGCACTTGACAGAAATCATAAAAACTAACTCAATTCTGAACAACCGTTATGTCATATAATCATGCCCCAGGTGGATACACCTATTTCTTCCTCAAGGAAACCTTATTTAGAATAATGAAAGGTTTCAATTCACATTCTCTTTCTCCATCTCTCCATCTCTTCTATTCTTCCTTCTTCCCTGCCACCCTGAAGCTGCCCTCTCCAAATCAAGCAAGCGAATGCCATAATTCAAGAACACAAAACAAACCTTCCAACATTACCTAATCCATTTTGAGTAGGAGCCTGCAGGGTGCACATGTGATGTTCACACATGTCAGGTCATATCCTCACAGTCCAGGTAAGAGCCCTCCTTAATAAGACATATGCTATCCTAGTGTCTACTCAATATAAAGAACAACTCACAAAAACTCAGTTTCCAACACACTTTGATTTGAGACACAGTGGTACTGAAATAAAACAAAACCCACCACTGTCATTAATAAAAATCCTATCAGAGGAAAGACAATGTCCTTTTGCAGTAGCAAAGCCAGTGGAGTTTATGGACATATCCCGTCTCAATTCTCAGCAACCAAAGCCAAGACTGAAGAACATGGCGGGGTTTTATCTTTGTAGCGAATATTTACAAAGTCATTTCTTCTGAGAGTCTCCTTAGAGTAACTAAGACCATCCATGAAAGAGGAAAGGGAGAAGGAAGACAGCCTGTGGTGTTAACTAAGAGACAGTTAGTTCTGGGATATGGCTCAGGTTCTGCCAGTTGGCAAGGATTTGTTAATGGACTCACACCAAAATCCCCATCATCTCTTGCTTCGTAATTGCTACACACTGAATGTTTGTGTCCCCTCAAAATTCTTATGTTGAAATCCTAACCTCCAAGGTGATGGTATTAGGAGGTAGGGCCTTTGGAAGGTGATTGTGATCATGAAGCTGGAATCCTCCTGAATGGGATTAGTGCTCTTATAAAACAGGCCCAAGAGAGCTTGTCTGCCTCTCTACCATGTGAGAACACAGCTAGAAGGCGCTATCTATGATGAAGAGCCCTTCGCCAGACATTAAATCTGCCAGCATCTTCTTCATCTGGGATTTCCACCTCCAGAACTGTGAGAAATACCTTTCTGTTGTTTATAAACCACGCAGTTTAAAGTATTTTTTTATAGCAGCTCAAATGGACTAAGACAATAAATTCGCTTACAAAGTAGCCAAGAAACACAATTTGAAACCCTTTGCACATAGTTAAAACCAGATAAGTAGATTAAAGAACCAGAACTTTTAGGAGATTAAAGGAGAAAATGAGTAGTTATAATGGAAAAAATAAGGAAAGGGTGTTGTGTTTCAACAACAAACACTTCAGAAAAAGGAATACTTCAATTACAGGGATTGTTGTCATGTCCGTACGCAACAAGCAAACAGGCTGCTCAGTTTTTCTCTTGATGGAATAAACCACCTGTGTAAGAGGAAGGTTGGTGGGAACGCCACCCTTCTCAATGAGGGATGAGAAACTCATACAGATTATTGAAACCAGACAGAGGTCTAGAAGGGAGGGAGCCTGGGACTAAAACATTTCTGGTAAAGGTTTTTAGCCTGTCTGTCAGATAACCGAGAATGAGAATCTGGGGAAAACTAGACCCTAAGGCAGCAGTCCCCAACCTTTTTGGCACCAGGGACTGGTTTCACGGAAGACAATTATTCCACGCGTGGGGGGAAGAGAAGGGGGGTGAGGCGAGCAATGGGGAGCACATCCCCCCCCCAGCTCATCTCCTGCTGCGTGATCCCTCACTTCCTAAGTTCCACTGAAGACTAACAGGCTGCAGCCAGTGGTTGAGGACCACAGCCCTAAGGGATCCCAAATTTGTCAGGAAGTAATAACCAGAAGAATAAATGAACCCTTGACAAAAATGTTACAAGCCTAAAGGATGTAAAGGAAACATTTAAAACCAAAAACCAAAAACAAGCAAGCAAGCAAAAAACCCTGAAAAACAAATCAGCAAAACAAAAACACGAAAGGAAATAGCACTGCTTAGGTTTCTGTCGTTGGTTATGTAAGGTTATTCTCTGTCGCTGCCCACACCCCCCGCCTCTATCTTCAGGCCTTGCGTGGAGCCAGCACAGGAGTTCCCAGTGAAAAAAGGCAGCACAGGGATGTCCGGGTGCTTACAGCTCATTTATCCTCAGTCATTTGTCCCACAGAAAGCCACTGGTTTGCTAGGGGTTGAAATGCTGTGATTATTGACAGATGATGATGGTAGAGCGAGGAACACCTCAGTCTTCCTAAAGCCACAACTTACACGTGGGGATACCTAAGTGGACCTTTGTTTTCTGGGCTCAAAAAAAGCACTTCCTCTCTCACAAAGCAGGATTGGCAACAATTAATTGCCAGTGGCTGAACTGCTTGTACTGTACATGTGCCTCCTGCCAACAATTCGGGGGTTAATGCTGCAGAAAGGGTGCAGTACTTAAACCAAACAGGACAAGCTTCTCCCTCTTTAAGTTGAGAAAAGGGAATAAATTGATGACATTCCTTTCCACTTTGGGAACTACAAAAGGTTGACAATACCTGCTTTTGGATACAATATACGAATGTTTCCAAAAGAATGAAAAATGCATACTGACAACCCACTGCCTTTGCAGCTCTACAGGCATTTCAGGCAAGACAAGTGCAATTTATGATACAATTTCTCCCCATTTGGGATGCAGAGTTGCTTGGCCTATCTTAGTGAAAACAGTACAAACTAGAAACTAATGCTGCTAGCCAGTCACCCCTAATTAGAAGAAGATCTGCAGTGCATACATTTCTCTTCCTTTCCCTAGTGCATTAAGCAGAAGTTTGAACTCAAGTTCTCTCCCAAATGAAATGCCTACCAGTTAACTATTCTCAATGCACAAGGCAATCTTACCACCCTTCCAGAGCTATCCATGGCCTTGAGGGTAAGAATCAAGCTCCTAAGGATGGCATATAAGGTCAAATATAACTTGCCTGGATCTGAAGACTTCACTTTGCCCCATTTTTTAGCAATGCTTGCAGTTCCCAATATGCAATGCCAAACTATGTTAATGCTTCTGTGCAACACTACCTGCAGCAAAAGCCCATTCCCACCCCTGGGTTCATAGTTCAAGTTCAATATTCCTCCTCTCAGGTCCACCCACTCCATGTTCAACCACAAAGCTCTTGAAATCCTGTTCACTGAAAGCAATTTATTGCCACTGCCCACTGCTGGTAAACAAGAAGAAAGTGAACTCTCCAGCCAACACATCCTCAGGATCTTCTTGCCAACATACACCTGAATTCTGTAAGGCCCGAGTTTGAGTTTTCAACATCTTCCAGGAGACTGTCTGGTCTATATCCACCATATTTCTAATTTTACTGGTCCATTTCTAATTTCATTAGCCATAATTATCCTGTAGTGTGTTGGAGCTATTTTCTTTTTTTTTTTTTTATTTCAGCATATTATGGGGTACAGATGTTTAGGTTACGTGTGTTGCCCTTGGTTCCCCTCCCCCCAAGTCCGTGTTTCAAATATGTCCATCCTTCGGGTAGTGCGCATTGCACTCCTTGTGTATACAAATACCCGTCCCCTCCTCCCTCCTCCCCCCTCCTCCCACCGCCCTCCCCCTTCCCCAGCATCTAATAGATGTTGTCCTGATATGTGCTTTTATGTGTTGATCTATTTTCTTTGCTCCCCCTTCCCCATGCCCTCTGCAAACCATTACTCTTCTACCTCCTTATAAAAACCTCTTCCCCTTTGCTATCTTGCTACACTACATTTCAGCTCTCACCATAGTTGTCATCTCCCAACTGACTCGTTACTCCCCCTACTTTACTGGTGGCACTGATGTCTGGCTTTCAAAATTCCTTCTCAGCCCAAGTCCTGCCTGAAGAATAGGAGGGTTAAGAGAACAGACTCTAGATAGAATCAGACTGCCTGGGTTCAAGTCTTGGTTCTACCATATGTGGTTCTACCACAACTAAGGCTGTTGCCTTAGTCATTTTCCTTAACCTTCCTTTTCCTGAGTTTCCTCATTTATGAAATAGGGATAGTAATAATACTTCATAGGATTTGTTGTATATATTACAAGTTAATACATGTAAAGGGCTCAGAATGGCACCTGGCACATAGTAAGTGCTCAGTAAACATCAGCTAGTGTTACTAGCATCATCATCACCATCACCATCATCAAAGACTATCTCAGTGTCCACATGGTTAACTCATTTAACATGTTCTCTGAGCTTCTTGTAGCCAATAAACTTCTCTACTCTATCCCAGCAACCCTCTTCTATAGCCACACCCTAGATCCTGTCATCACCAGAACTCCTCCACCTTCAAAATCTTCAATTCACATTATCCCATACTCTGACAACCACCTCCTGTCCTTCCAGGACTCAGTTCACCTGTCCTTTCTATATCTGCTTCCCATCATGGAAGCCTCTAAATGCCAAACTTCTCTTTTTTTTTTTTGAGACAGGCTCTCATTCTGTTGCTCTAGGCTAGAGGTCAGTGGCATCATCATAGCTCACTGCACCCTCAAACTCCTGGGCTCAAGTGATTCTCCTGACTCAGCCTCCTGAGTAGCTGAGACTACAGGCACATGCCACCATGCTCAGCTACTTTTTCTATTTTGGGTAGAGACGGGGTTTTGCTCTTGCCCAGGCTGGTCTCGAACTCCTGAGCTCAAGCTATCCTCCCGCCTCGGCCTCTCAGAGTGCTAGGATTACAGGCATGAGCCACTGCACACAGCCCCAAACTTCTCTGTCTTACCTCTGTAATGGCCCTCCTATCCTTTACCTCTTTTCATATCTTCTTACACTCTCTCTTTCATCCACTCTTTTGACAACAACCTCCATTTCCACACCCCAGTTTTCTTCTATACAAACTACCTAGCAAAGTTTCTATCTTGGATGAATCAAACTATCAGCCTTTTCTTGACCGGGTTGCCGAAAGCTAATGAGAAGAATCACACAGCTGTAAAGATCAGTCACCACTGCTACAAATACATGGTCTCCATCTTCAAGGCTGCCCAGCAATCCTATTTCCTTACCTAGTTTGCCATCTCCTGTCCTTCACAATGGCTATTTCAGACCTTTACCACTACTCTCCCCAAACCTCTGATTCTCCTGCCTATTACCCACCCATCCCCACCCCACCTACCTCTGCTTCCACTCTCTACAAATGGTCTATCACATTTCATAAAAAAACAGGAACAAGATTAGAACTACCATAATTTCCTTCTACCCAACCTATAAACCCACCTTGACTGCATCCCATCCAACCCTTTTTCCCTATTACAGTGGAGGAGTTGTCCTGCTTAAGGCTGACCTTGTGCTCTGTGCTCAGTATTCTAACCTCCCCATCCATAAGACAGTGGGTGGTCTCAAAGTGTGGCCCCTGGGCCAGCAGCCTTGGCACTCTCTCCAGGAATTTGTTGGAAATGCAAATTATCAGGCCCTACTTGAGATCTACTAAGTCAGAAACCCTAGAGTTAGGGCCCAGCAATCTGTTTTTAACAATGTCTCCAAGTGAGTCTGATGCCTATTAAAGTCTGAGAACAACAACTCTAGGCGATTATTTGTTGTTTATCCCCTTTCCTGTGTCCGTTATCTCCTTCTTTGGTGCAACGTTTCTGAAGAGATTCAGGACACACACAGTTGACCCTTGAACACGCAGGTCCACTCATATGCGAATTTTCTTCCACCTCTGCCACCCCTGAGACAGCAAGACCAACCCTTTCTCTTCCTCCTCCTCAGCCTACTCAATGTGAAGACAATGAGGATGGAGACCTTGATGATGATCCACTTCCAGTTAGTGACTGGTAAATATATTTTCTCTTCCTTTTGATTTTCTTAACAACATTTTCTTCTCGCTAGCTTACTTTATTGTAAGAATACAGCATATAATACACATAACATACAAAATATGTATTAATTGACAGTTTATATTATCAGTAAAGCTTCTAGTCAACAGTCAGCTATTAGTAGTTAAACTCTGGGGAGAGTCAAAAGTCATAGGTGGATTTTTAACTGTGCGGGGGGAGGGGCGGTTTCTAGTCTATTCACCACACAGCGATTTATCTGATTATGTCATTCCCTGCTTAAAACTCTTCAATGACTTCCCACTGACTTAAGATAAAGACCAATATCTTAAGAAGGCCGCAAGGCTCTGCACACCTCTCCAGCCCCTTCCTCCAACACTAGCTGTCTTTCTCTGTTTGCCTAGCAAGACCAGTCTGTCTCAATTTCTTGGTCTTGCTATGCTCTAGGGCACTCAACACCCTTTGAAATTGTTATTTCCTCTGCCTGAAATATTCTTTCCCCATTTCTTTTCGTAACTCCTACTTCAAAAATCAGCTTAAACTTTCTTTCCTAGGGTAACCTAACCTGACACCTTAGTCTCTGTTAGCTCTGTTAGCTATCACAGTACTCTGTGCTTATCCTCTTATAACCTACATTGAGCTTATAATTATTTAATTATTAGAAATATAATGTCTGTTTTCCTTGCCAGAGTAGAAGCCTTATTAGGGCAGAAATCATGTTTATATTATTTACTATAATATTCCCAGTGTCCAGCTTAGTATAATACTTTGCACATAGTAAACACACAATAAATACTTGCTGATTGAGCCTTTACATATATTGTAGCTCTGTTCAGAATGCTTTTTTACTATCTTTAACCACCCTACTGAAATCCTACACATCCTTCAAGAAATGTCAAACATCTCTGTCCAGTCTTACCTGCACATACACACCACCTGCCTGTTCAAGTGAATCACTTTCTCTTTGTGGTCTTACTGTATTGTGTACATAAACCTGTTAATGCAATAATTATACACTATTATAAATACCTAGCTTAATGTCTGGGTCTCCACTAGACTGTAAACTCCCTGAGGGGATGGACCACGCCTGTGCATCTCTATAGTGCTTAGGAAAGTACCTAATATTGATAGTACATTTCCATAAATGTTTCTGGGCATATTAAACCTGAGATTGTTCTCTAATATTAAGCTAAAAAGTTTTTCCCTCAATATTAAATATGGGTTCCAATTCTAGCTATGCTAATCATTAGCTGCGTGATCACTGGCAAGTTGTTTAACCTCTTTGGGCCTCAGTTTTCTCACCACTAAAACAGGGCTAATATTACCTGGTTGGAAATATTGCTATGAAAATTAAACAAAATGACATAGTACAACAATTAGTAGACGCAGTCCCTGGCATGTAGTAGCACACTCTGGTTTTAACTTGATAGAAACAACTAGAACAAAACAAATACAAAAAAAGTCACAGCAATCAAGGGAAACTAAGCATAGAGTGAGTCATTCCTTTTAATCATTTGCCCAGAAAGATCAACAATGAAGAAACATAATAAGCAGAATAAACTCTACTGGTGGTATCTCCCTTGACAAACACAGCTTGGTGAGAATTCACTCCAGAGAACTCTTGGCTAATGGCCACATCCGGCTCCCCAGCCCAGCAGGTCAGATCTTAATCTGCAGTACCAGGCATAGTTAATTTAGATCGGAATAGAAACTACCTCATAAAGAACATGTTTACAGGCGGGAGATGGAGGAGGAGAAGAACTTGACTGCAACCACATCAATCAACTGTTTTGCAATCTGGCAGAAAATGCTGCAGAACTGTTGGTGGAGACTAATACCCACACAACTGCACTTACCTGTAGCCAAGAAACAGCTTAGACTAGATAATGAGCAGCTTTGTGCTTCTACAAAACAATGGTCAGACCTGCATGCAGTCAACATCTCTAAGGTCAAATGACCCTTTTACATCTGGGCAGCACCAACTAAGATGATGCTAAGCAGCTTTACATTAATACATACACTCCTCAGCCTATGCACGCTGCCCACAAACATCAGCTTCATTGCTCATGCATGCCAAATTTAAGAGCAGATTTAACAGTTTCTCTCCTTATTCATAACATGCTTACCTCTGCAGAGCCACTGGTACTCAGATTACCCAGTTCCTTGGAGCCATTCACTTTAGAATGCTGTGTCACTACAGGTGTAACTACTTTTTCAGTGAAACTATCTCTCTTCTGAAGTTTCCTGATTAAGCTCTCCTGGTCACTGGAGGATACAGCAGGTCTGAATGGAGCTCTGGGTGGGCTCTGCGTCCTCCAAGATGCCCTGCTCCAACCTAGCCCCAGAAGATGTGGTATATCATCTTCAGGTGGAAAGCCCAAAATATCTGCAGTTTGGAACTTTTTAAAAAACACCAGCACAGAATTGGAAGAGTCTGTCCTAAAAGCTTGGCAGCTCTGGGCCCTGCTACAATCTGCTTGAATGCACATCCCTTCTAGCCACCAAAAGGCATGGCAAGCAGAGTCCCAGCAGCAGGCAGTCCAACATGACTGGAGGGAGGGGGTTCCTTCAAGAAGCCGGAGGTGAGTTTCTCCACCAGATCTCAGGCCAACTCCAAATTGTGTCTTCCCCTGCCGGCACCTGCTCTCACTGGCATCTAAAAACAAAAAATGAAAACATTTTCAGATGAAATAAAAACAGAGACTACTGCTCCAGAAAGAGCCCTGAACACGAACATTTGAGGCTATTCTGAAGACAGGTTTTTAAGAGGGTGAGAAAGCTATCCATTGAGTTTGAAGAGAGGAAGCAAAAGAGAGTGTTTTTTGACTCAGGAAATTTTAGCTTGTAGAAGTACTGCTCCATATTCATCAATGGTTCCCCTTCTCAATGAGTTCCTGCCACACAGAACTTTTCCACAGAATTCCAATTTGTGAAATGGAAAACAACAATAAAAAACAAAAAAGAAAGAAAAGAAGGTATTCTGGTGGAAGCGTATGGGGGAAGCAGGGGAGGACAGAGTCTCAGCACCTGACTTCCCACTAACCTCCAAGGCACTTATTTCTCAGGGACAATGTGAGGACTATTGGACCAGAACAGGTAGCAGGATAAGCTAGAATATTTCCCCCACGGAACTGGCAGCAATGCAGACTGAGTACTCTTGACCTCATGCAGATTACAGGTACATCCTTTTTTTGGGGGGCGGGGGGCAGTAGAGACAGGGTCTTGCTATATTGCTCAAGCTGGTCTTGAACTCCTGGCCTCAAGAGATCCTCCTGCCTCAGCCTCCCAAAGTGCTAGGATTACAGGCGTGAGCCACTGTGCCTGGCCCATTTTCTAAACAATCATTTGCCAAAGTCAGGATATCATGGTATTGCATATCATGGTATTAGCCAGAGTAGTAGCTAAGATTACCAAAAATTCTAACGATGAGTGGATTCTGCTAAAAGGAACTTCCTAATGACAAGCCATGTCATGACAAGAAATAATGGAACAGAAGTACAACAGTGACCTACTGTGGGTAACCTAAATAACACGGTCCAAAATTCTGGCTAACATTGCTTATGGATAAACTTTGAGCTGTTGAATTAGCTCAGGCATGGCATTGATTTTCCTGAAGTATTATATCACCTCTGTTTTCTTAGATGAAGCAAAGTCAAAACACGTTCTAAATGAAAGTTGTTAATACAAACTCATTTTAAGGTCTTAGTTATATAGGTGTCCATAACCAGCTGTTGTCACATTTATATAAGAACAGAACTCAGGGTGAGGTAAGAGAGGTGCCTCAGGCACACAATTTAAGGAGGCACTCAATCTCAGGGTCATCTGAGTGCAGGGTTGGCTAATACAATCTTGAGAGTGAGTGCCTCTTTAAATTTTGTGCTTGGGTGCCTCTCTGTCCTCACCCTAGTCCTGGACCTGGGGTTATAATATAAAATACATATAAGAATTACATAGAGAAAACATGGAAGAGAATCAAATTATAGACGAAACAGGTAATCATGTCTGCATGTACACATAACTGAAAAAGGGCTCTAACTAAAGCAACGACCTGAAAAACAGCCAAAGCCAACCTGACTCCCATGAAATATTTATTAAATGTCCAACAGACCAAATGTGGACACTAATAAACTGGGAGATATAAAGAAGAGAAAGGCAGTCAGAAGCATTCTGGAAGCCAGCAATGGCACCAACCTAACACCAGACAAGGCAATTCTGAAGGCCAGAGAAAACAGAACTTCCTTAAGATGAAGAAATAAGCAACTATGAAAAAAATGAAGCTACCAAGAACTTCAGAAATATCCCTCATTTTCTTATCCACCTTCCTACATAGTCACCAATAGTATGAATCTTGATAACAGCTGAGTATACAGACTGTTGAAATCAAAAAAGTGTTAACATCAGTAACTACTATCAGTTACCTTTATAGCAACTTTCCCTTATTCTTCTCATAACAACTCTCTCATATTTAACACAACAAAGAAGTCAACATAGATGAAAATAACTTGGACTTTTCCATAAGCCACTATTTTATTTAATTTTTAAAAATGCACTGAGACTTCCACTTCTGCACTTGAAGGAGGAATTGCTATAGGACTGTCCTCCCACCATGAGCAACTAAAAAACTAGACAGAACATATAAAGCAACTGTTTTTAGACTCTGGACAACAGGCAGTGCAGGAGGAAGGAAACAAAGCAAGTCGGCCCTGCGATCCCCTGTCTTTCTGCTGGAGGCATGCTCCCGACTGTGGCGCAGCAAGAAAGAACCAAGCAGAACAGGGCAGTTGCTGAACTGAGGAGACAGAGCTCAGGGTGGCTGCGATAGCTAGAATTTTTGAACAAAGTACCAGAAAGAGCTACACAGAGAAAGAGCTCCAGATATCTGGATAGTGGTCACCTTCAGTTTTGGTTGAATACTAATTTACAAAAGTGTAGGTTGAAACTGGATGAAGGAAATTAGAAAATATTGTGAACTGAATGAAAATGAAAATACAGTGTATAAACATTTGTGAGATGCTATTAAAAGCAATGTTTAGAGGGACATTTAAAATTTTAAAGGCTCATTTCAAAAAAGAAGTAAAGTCTAAAATCAATGACTTAGAGAGACACACAGGGAAAATGCCAGGTGATGATGACATAGGCAGAGATTGGAGTGATACGGCTGCAAGCCAAGAAAAGCCAGGGATTAACGGCAACCACCAGAAGCTATGGAGAGGCAAGGAAGGGTTCTACCCAGAGTCTCAGAAGGAATAAACCCTTCTAACACCTTGATTTTGGATTTCCAGCCTCCATAACTATTAGCTTACATAGGGTTCTCTCCCTTGTCTGGGAGAACAGTTTAGGAGACACATGGTCCCAAGATCCCAGATCCAGAGATCACTGACATTTGGGAATGTATGTGGCTGTGGCCTGTACCCAGATGGAATGGAGACAACTAGATGTCACTCAGCAGATCCTGTACAGCAGTGTGACGGTGGAACACTAAGAGAATCTGGTGTCTGTGGGCTTCTCTCTTTCAAACCTTAAAGCAAAATACTTCTGCAGGATCTGTTCTGGGAGAGTTTCCTGATGGAAAGAGGCCTGGATTGAGAGGGCAGAAGCCACACAGAGATGTAGCACCATAAATGCGAGGAATGTGGGAAAGTTTTCAAATATGATTCTTCCTTTATTTGCCACCAGAGAAATCATACTGGTGAGAAAACCCACAAATGCAAAGAATGTGGGGTAGACTTTATGAGCAAGCTACCTCGTTATCACCCGTTTTAAACCACCATAAAATTCACATAGGCAAGCAACTTTATAGACGTATTGAATGTGGGAAATTCCTCAAGAAGGACTCAACATTTATTAATCTTCAGAGAATTTATTCTAGAGAGAAACCACATAAATGCAATAAATGTGAAAAAGCTTTAAAAAAAACTATCCTTTCAAGTCATCTGAGAATTCACAAGAGTCAGAAAGCCTACCAATGTAACGACTGTGGGAAAGCCCTTGTTGAGAAGGCAATCCTTACTCGTCAGGAGAGAATACAGAGTGGAGAGAAGCCTTTTACATGTAAGGAACGTGGGAAAGCTCTCAGATAACTCAACTGCTGGAGCATCAGAAAACCATCCTGGTGCAAAACCACATCACTGTAATAAATACAGAAAAGCTTTTAGGAAGAGCTGAACTCTTACTATTCATCAAAGACTGCACACAGGAGAGAAACCCTATTACTGTAGTAAATGTGGAAAATCTTTCAGGTATAGCTTATCCTTTGCTGGACATCAGAAAACTCATAGTGGAAATAAACCCTATCAGAGTAATGACTGTGGGAAAACCTTTATGAAGAGCTCGACCCTTACTGGACATCAGGAAATTCACACTGGAATAAAACTCAAATCACTGTAAGAAATGTCGGAAAGCCTTCGGGCACAACTCAGGCCTTGGTGAACACTAGAGAATTCATACCTTATGAACATAATCAATGTGGGAAGGCTTTTCCCCAGAGTTCAGCCATTAAATAATATTAAGAAAATTCATAACAAAGAAAGAGTCATCAAATGTAGTTAATGTGGTAAATCATGCACAAGTAGTTTATTTGTTCTGACCATCAAAGAGGAGATATTCAATAAATTACACATTTATCAAAAATGTTCTGTGCACCTCTATCCTAGAACATTCTCACTTGTGAGGATGTTCATTGTAGTATGGTTTGTACTACTGAAATATCTGAAGAACCTAAATATCTGTCAATATGGAAATAGTTACTATATAATATTATGTACCATTTGAAAAGAATGAGGTAGAATTTTATACATAGCCAAAGAAATATCCCTCCTCCATGTTACCTTGTTAAGTTAAAAAAGCAAGTTGTAGAAAATCTATGTATTATGGTCTTATTTATATTTTTAACAATGAAGCTATTTTTGTATGTCCATATATATTTATTTGCATTCAAAGAGATTTGGAAAAATAAAGGACAAACTTTTACAGTTTAAAAAAAAAAAATCAATGCTCTATGCTTCCATCATAAAAGCCTGAAAAAAAAGAGTAAATTAAACCCCAAAATAAGTAGAGAAAGGAAATAATAAAGGTAAGACTAATCAAGGAAATGAAAAACAAGCAAAAAACAATAGAGAAAAATCAGTGAAACCAAAATCTGGTTGTTCATAAGATCAAGTCAGAGCTGATAAAGCTCTAGTTAGACTGATAGCGGAAAAAAAGAGAATATTCACAAATTACCAGTATCAAGAATGAAAGAAGGGATATCACTCTAGATTCAATAAACCAGAGGCCACAAACTATGGCCCAGGGGCCAAGTGGGCTACTGCCTGCTTTATAAATAAAGTTTTATTTGAATAAAGTCACACTCCTTCATTTTTGTATTGTCTATGGCTGCACTGCTCTACCATAGCAGAGGTAAGTAGTTGTAACAGAGACCATAAGGCCTATAAAGCCTAAAATATTTACTATCTTTAAGAAAAAGTTTGCCAACCTCTGGTTTAGATAATGTACCTTTGTTTGACTTACTATTTACTGTTAGGTAGAGCGTAAATTTAGATGTCCACTTACAGAACACTGATAAGTTGCAGATGATTTTGACATTTTTTTGAGATATAAATTATTTCTGTCCAATACAAAAGATAACCTCCAGGTTTTGCTGTTATTGTCCTGTAA